TTGTCATACACTTGTCCTCACTGTGATACCAGCTCCTGTCTCACTAGCTCTGATCTACTCCACTAACAATCATTCTCCGAGGTTCATTTTTTAGATTCACTCTTTTTCTCCTACCCTTTAAAAATAGGCATTGACTACTGGGTGTCAGGCACTGTACTAGGCGCTTTACCTTTAATTCCCACAAAGACTCTGAGAGGTAGGTACTATTACCCTCCTATTACAGATGCAAACACTGGAATTCAGAGAGGACACATAACAAGTAAGCGGCAGAACCAAGGTTAAAACCCATTCTTACAATGTCAGCTTCTTTCTCTTTTGTTTAATGGACTCAATTATTTCTTCTTGTCCACTGACCTTCATGCATTCACATTTCAGGACAAAAGCCTTCATGCTGGCACTCCAAGTACTTTAATAGGAAGATGTACATGTGAGGGGCTTGGTCACCAGGACAGCAAACTGCCTTTTCAAGAGAACAATTGTGAATTTGTGGTAGGTTGATATCCTGCATCTTGGTGTTTTCATATATGGCTGCTTTTAATTCAAATGAATCAAATTATTTCCATTTAAAAAGCAAGGACGATGTGAATATATTTAATGCTACTGAACTGTATACCTAAAATGGTTGAAAAAGTAAATTTTATGTTACGTATATTTGACCATAATAAAAAATAAATAGTAAAGATAAAAAACCAAAGAAGCACAGAGATTTTCTTAAATTGTGTTCCCCCAAGCCCAGATTTTCCAGGGTCAATAATGAGAGTCCTACGTGTAAGATCCAAAGGAAGAACTTTGTTCTGGATACAATGTCCTTTTGTCTTATGTTTTTAGTATATTTGTCTATGTCCTGAACATAGATATATCTGAGAGAAAAAAAGGACCTGTTATTGTGCAGAGTTGTGCTGTCCAACAGGGTAGCTACCAGCTACATGTGGCTACTCAGCACTTGAGAGACAGTGGTCTGAATTAAGATGTGCTCTACTGCATACTAGATTTCAAAGACTTAGTATGAGTTAAAGGGCATAAATAATTCATAAATGATTTTTATATTACTCGTTGAAATACTTTGATATGTGAGGTTAATAAAATATATTATTAACTTTACCAGCTTATTTTTTAATGTGCCTACTAGAAATTCTACAATCACATATGAGGTGCACTCTGTTTCTATTGGACAGCGCTGGTACAGATGCCATATATCATAATGGTTGAGAGCACTGGCTCCCAAGCCGAATAACTGTGTTTCTTCTTAGCTCCACAATTTATTGTGTGACCTTGGGCAAGTGACTTAACTTCCCTGTGCCTCAGTTTCCCAACCTATAACATGAACACAATGAAAATTGTTGTAGAGTTAAAATGAAGGCCTGACATATTTGTGTTGTTGATTGTAGCAATGGCCTTCAGACACAATGGCAAGGATTTATCCATGTGGTAAAGATGCAACGTACATTAGTGTCTGTAAAAGGGGTTCAAGAATTCATTAGTTAGGGCTTGAGACTTCTACTGACAAGGATAATCCAGGTATAAATTTTTGAGATCTGAGGAAGGCCCTTAGCCCTATTTTTCTCTACTCTTGATCCCAACAATGTTTCAACATTCGCACTTGTGAAATTTAACGATTACCTCACTGAGTGGAAATTAGAAGTGGGCACTTAAGTTTGTCCAGAGCAAAAGTACACATACGATGCTATTTTGACTTAATCAATCTTCCAGAAACATGCACTGTTGCCAAGTCCATACTCTCCCTTTGTCATTCTTACAGGTTCCCAATGCTCCACCTGCCTATGAGAAAGTCTCTGCAGAACAGTCACCACCACCTTATTCTCCATGAGAGCCAGCAAAGCCCTTGAGAGATGCTGAAGTCATTTCCCTCACATTTTTCCCTAAATTTAATATGGGCATTTAATGATCTGCTTTGAAATGCTGTAGTGTACATTGCCTCTAATAATAAGCTTAGTGTTAAATTCTTAGTAGGGCAAACAGCAATACTAATTGAGGAAATGATGAAAAATATTAAAATGGAAAAACTTTGTCAATAAACGTGTAATGCATGCTTTTGTGCCAGTAGTAATGTTAATAAACCTACGGTGTTGTATTATTTTCTGAGACAGTTTTTCAAGAGTGTATGCTGGGACCATTCAATTTTTTTAAGTAAAATTTGGCTAATAACTAACACACTAGTATTCTGATTTTTGAAGAGCAACCTCTTGACCAAATTGTACTCTAACATAATTGTTACAGGGGAGTTTGTGCTAAGGAGTGCCCAAAGAATACTTTTACAGGTTTAAGACCAAGAACTGATTAACCTACCAAATTATAGTCAGATTCATCTGAGGAGGAAAGTGTCAATAGTGTCTTTTTGTGCTCCAAAATTCCATGATGCTACAATAATATACCACAGAAACCTGTATCTTAAGTAATACATATAATGCAGTTCTAATTACATTTTGCTTCAGGGCTCGATACTAGCATAATTTATGACAAAGATTTTTTGTTAAGGTGGTGTCAGAATGTAAATAAGTAAAAACCTCTTTTACTTATTTAGCTGATGTTTTGCCCTAAATGTCTCAGTGGCAATTTAGTTCTTTTGGGCTTCCAAATCCCTCTCAAAAGAACATATAGAAGAAATCATTAAGAATCAGAGATTCTGAAAGTGTCATTATTTGCATAGTAACATGACAATTTTTTGTTGTTGACATCTATACATCACCTATGTATGGTATTATTTATCTAATATTTTCCTTTCCATCAGCTCATTTTTTTTTTTTGGCTCAAATTTATATCATTATCTAAGTGGAATATCAGTATCATTTTCCATAATTAGAGGATAACTATAAAAATGAAGATAATGAAAGCAAATTATTTTTATTAAAACCTTAGGAAGATACTGATGATCCAGAAGGTTGTCAAGCTGAGACCTACTTTCTTTACTACAGAGGGAGATTAGCAAGAATCAGAGAAAAGCTTCTAACAATTAAAAGGCTTACTAGAGAAAGAAATGACTTTCTCACTATGTGACTGTGTTATCTAATGCTGTCAATAAACCACTTAAAGTCATCTTGTGCCATTGGAAACACCAGTGTAGCACAATGGCATCATTTTCTACAAAAGACAAGATTACACTGCAGAGAAAAAATGCTGGAGACTTATTACACACATTGAAAAAGAAATCATTCAAAAAAATATTAAAATATCTCCCTGCCCTTCCTGATTCTGTCCAGTCTTAACTCTTAAAATAAGCCCTATCCATTCCATTTTCAAACAAATTCTAAACAAACTCTGTCAGGCAACTGGCTAGCTCCTCTCTTCATCACAGGCTTAGTCTCAGCTTTAATCCTCCACATTTATAGAATAACCTGTGGCTTGAGCCCTAGGCCCTTCGAAGATTTCCCAGATCATCATCTGCTGAGAATTCTCTCCTTTCCCCAGGGAAAAAGGCTCTCTTCACAGAGTCCCTCAAGGCAGTGTCCCAGGTGATGGGCAAAGATGGTTGAGCTGAGTATGCCAGAGAGAAACTAGGAAAGCGAGATTTTGTTCAAAGAAATACAAAGTGCCAGATTCAGCCGAAAGGACTTGCTCCCTACAGAGGAAGCCACACCTAGAAAATGACTCCCTGGATTGGACACCATTTGCAAGACGACCTTGGGACCCAGGAGCTCAAGATGGCAGGATCATGATAGAAGGAGCCTGAGTCACTAAATCACCACTGGGGAAGTCTCCCCATTCTAGGAATGCTTGGATTGAATGGAGAAAAATTGGTCCTACGGAAAATCCATAACTGTTAAGACATTGCCAGATCTGATATGAAATCCAGGGCTTAGCTAATACCTTTGTTGAGGTCCTTCAGTGCTCTGTCTGCCCTTGCCCATTGGACTGAACAAACAGGATGGGAGTGGGAGCTTCCCAGGGAGGGAGATCCCTGTGACCTCTGCAGGCAAGATCCAGCTTCCCTGCAGCTGAAGGAAACTTGAACTCAGGAGAACAAGCCTCACCCAAGGTCCTGGGCATGAGTCCTCTACTGCAGCATGCCCCACCATGAGGCCCTAGCATGCTTGTGGGCAGAAAATGGGTAGTGGCAAGACATGGCTTTGATCTCCTAGGTTCTCTGAAGGATCAGGTCAGGACTAGAATGGTCAATGCTCACGGCTAGTCTCTTCTGGCTCATTGTTTTCTACTTGCCCAAATGCACTGGACAAATACTCTATTTGTGTAGTGAGCCGAATAAAGCTGGAGAGCTGTTTTACAGAATCTGGTCTTCCCTCCTCCTCCTGCCCACCAGCCCTCAGATGGTATTGTCTGATGCTTGATTCAAGGCCCAAGTCTCTGTGGGTTTCCCTAGGAGATTCTGATAAGGATGCTCTGATTGTTTTTACAGTAAAGAGTAGGCACATTTTAAGGAGAAAAAGAGCTAGCCAAAAGACTTGGCTTGAGTTATAGTTCAGTGAGATTAAACTGATCACACAAAGCAATGAAGCCCTCAAGTCACCTCCAGTGGAGACCAGTCCTCTGAAGTTACAAACACCGAGTTTGGCTGTACATATATAAATATATGGACAAGTGCACTCGTCACTTGAGAATACTGCAGAACTTTTCAAACAAGATGCAAGCCCCCTAAATTTTCATTTCATGGCTTGACTTTTAGGACTGACACAGTCACTTGAAAATGCATCAAAATCCCTCAATCTCAAGTGACTGATGACAAAACATCTTAAAAGCATCTCAGAACACCACCAAATTTCACAAGGAAATCATAGATGGTCTGGATGAAAACACTTTTTAAGAAAGCCTAAAACTGCTATTCCAAGACCGTGAGATGAAAGTAAAAGTGTGCGAAATGAAGGAACAGGAAAAAATGTGTGACTACTACAAATGAAAGTGGCTTTAAATAAAAAAGAGAGCCCATTAAAATCTCTGAAATTGTACTAAAGATAAGTTTTCCTGCTTTCCTTAGAAAAGATTACAAGTTGGATGGCCTGAGTCACTAAATCACCACTGGGGAAGAGTCTCCCCATTCTAGGAATGCTTGGATTGAATGGAGAAAAATTGGTCCTACAGAAACACCAGTATAGCACAATGGCTTCATTTTCTACAAAAGACAAGATTACGCTGCAGAGAAAAAATGCTGAAGAGACTTATTACACACATTGTAATATGTCTCTCAGTGGAGACCAGTCCTCTGAAGTTACATCAATTTTATTTTCACTCATCTGTTGTTCCTACATCTTCTGTAGTATATGGCTCTCAATAAATGTGTAGAATGAATTTACACTTCTTTGAATTTAAATTTGTTGATACACACATACTTTTGATTCTCTAGCGTCTTATACTGCTTTTAACTACAGAAGTTTCTCATACTCACATATTGTTTCCAAGCAAACTGTTAAGAACCTGAACTATGCTATGCCCTTCAGTTTTCCTGTTTATTAAGAAAGCATAAAGAAACATCTTGTGCATTGTAAATGCTTGTTGAATAAATGAGTAAAAATATCTGCGGCAGATGACAGCATTATAGTAACAATGAGGTTTCAGGCTCAGGTGATGGCAAAACAACTTCTGGAATGACACGGTAAAATGCATATCACCCTGATATATAATTTTGGATAACTAAATTACCATTGTATTTCTTAGATCACTTTCAGAACTTGCACCTTCTCAAGCTTTTAATATTAAAGATTTCTAAATCCATTGAGTCAATGATACACTGGATCAAGTAAACATTTTAATTTATCTTAGTGTACTTATTATAGCCATCGTTTTTATCATAAAAATATTTGTCGATTATTAAATATATCAATTAAACTGAAGACTGAATGAAAGCACGGATCTAAATAGCTATTTAGCATTTTATTTAGCTATGAAAAAATTAAATTGTATATATATTTAATCACAAAATTGATTTTTGGGTGTGTGCAGGAAAATCCATAGGAAATGATAGAAAAGAGCTAACATATTAGGAGGTATATTATTTCGACATTTTTTAACTTAGTATTTAAAATAATGCTGAATACAAACATCCAGTGGCCTAATTCTAAACTAAGTGTGGAAATATACCCTTTTAGTACCACGAAGCCTTTCAGGTCCCATTGTGGTGACTTTTCTTCCTTTACGTGATTGCCATTATGGATGACCTTTAAAAATACTCGATAATACTGAACACAAAGAACGGAAGAATTTGACTTTGTACTCTTTGGCCAAGATCCCAGGAATCCACATGACCTACCACACTGGAGGCAAAGGAAAAAGAATTTGGCTTTTTGATGATATAAATTCAGTAATTTAGTCAAATTTCTAGTAAAGATAGAGTATTATCTTTAAAAACTAAACTAGATCTTAAAAAATATTAAGTAGCTACCTAGATTTCGCACTCACTCAACAAATATATATTGGATGACTACTGTGTGCCAGTTGCTGGGATGACAATATTGACCACTGACAAGATATCTTTTTAAGGATGACAGGCATTACATAATTGCATACAAATAATTTTATTACATTTGTGAAGGAGTGTCCCTCAATCTATGTCCTCAGTCTGTGAGTGACTGCAATATCATGATGCTGGCTTGGGTATGGTAAAGAGAGGGAGTTATGTGACATATAATGAGAACCTATAATGTAACATTAAGTCAAAGAGAACACCTATGAAGATCCTGACATGTCTCAATTTGCTAGGAACTAAAACTATAGAGTGAGAAAGGAGAATAAGTTGAAATGAAGCTGGAGAGGTAAGGAAGAACAGACTGAAGAGACTTTTAAGCCCTAAAGAGGAGAAGGAGAGTGCTTCACTATAAAAGGTTCAACAAATCACACAGAGCTTCGAAGATCATATAATTTTGGCTTTGGAAGTTAGAAAAGAATTAGTGGTTAATAATTAGTTTAGGACGTTTGCCGAGATTAAAGTTGGAACGTAGGTAATTCAGTAAATTAGTTTCTAGAAGTGGCTTAGAGATTTCTTTCCACACAAAAGATAAACAGTTTTAGGTTGTTTTAAAAGTTGAGTATATACATTCATTTACTGAGCACCACCTATGTGCTTCAATGTCACCCACTTCCCCCTGAAATCCAAGGTCTTTCTAAACTGACAGAGAAAGAGGGAAAGGTGACTGTAGAGTAGAA